AGATTAGGGTGAGCTATAAGTTGATAAAAAATATATATAGTGTATTTATGTTTGTGTGTTTTCAATTTCAGAGGTGTATAAAGTACTTGAAAAAAAAAACAACTAAGTAAAAGTTTAAAAAAAACATTAACAGAAAATGACTTTGGGAAAAAATTTGTTTCTGCACTCTAAAAATGAAGGGTTGAATTTACACAACAGTCATGTCAGCTGGCTCCTCTGAGCCTAGATGAGTAAAGTGAGTGAAGAATATACGTATGTTGCTCAAATCACAGCTTAGTGGAACCAGTTTGGTTCATTAAAATCATCAGTTTATTTCTTAGAGAGTCTATAAAAGTGCTTTTACTTTCCCCATTTTTGTGAACAGTTTTATGACTTTTACTTGTTTTCTCATCAGTGAAATTTATTTTTACCAGTCATTTTTTGTTCTTGTAATGTTACTACTTGATTTTTTTCTGCAAGTACTTTATAGACCTCTGCAAATGAAAACACACAAACATAAATACACTATATATATTTTTTATCAACTTATAGCTCACCCTAATCTTCCACATGGATGGTTCCACTTCAGGTCCTCTAGCAGAAGCCTGGAAGCTTSAGGGTTCTGCTCAGTATCTTAGCTGTTCCTGGGACTGGACTCWTCTCGACAGAGATTTCTGAGGTTGTTCCTGTTGAAATCTCTTTTTCAGTTTGGGGATCACAGCACTGAGCGCTCTGATGACCACTGCACAACTTCTGTGTTTCCTCTTCCAGCCCTTCTCTCTCCAGCTTCTCGCCTTTCTTTGTTAGTCACTTGGGATACCGCTGTTGCTTGTCGACCACCAACAGTGTCCGGTCGTTTAGCGGCTGTGGTGGGTAAAGTATACACATTAATTGTACTCAAGTAAAACTTYCACATAGTTTTACTCAAGTAAAAGTAAACAGTAGCCATGTAAGAAATTACTCAAGTAAGAGTAAATAAGTATTTGGTTAAAAGGCTACTCAAGCACTGAGTAATTAACTCAGGGGTGTCCAAACATTTTGTCACGTGGGCCAAAATCATAAAGTCAGAAGGACTTGAGGACCAAGAATATTTTTCCTTTACCTATTCAACAATAAACTAAGCATTGAATTCTTTAATTAAACAAATAAAGTAGTCAAGTTTATTGTTGGAAATGGATGTGTAAATTAATCTAGATCCAGAACTTTAAAGGTCAAAAAGAAAAAATTGTGTAGGTCTTCTGGGCGGGTTCTTCTCTAATGAAACGTTT